AAAGTTTTATTATATAAATCAATTTTTATCAGCTCATCAAACATAATATTTTAATATTAGGATTGTGATTAATAATTTCATTATTTTAACTATTTAAATTATGCGCAATAAAATAGAGTAATAATTTCAAAGTATTTTTAATTTTTAATTTAAAAAAAAAAAAATATAATATTTCGTATTATTTTTAATGAAACGTTTTAAATAATTTTAAAAGGAAGTAGATATAGCATATAACTCATGATCAATTTTTTTTGCGGGCTATAGACTAGTATAAAAACACACAGGTTTTAACACAGAAAAAAAAATGTTTTCATATTATATTATACAATTACAGTTTATAGGGTGTAATTTTATTTATCTAGCTGAATAACCCGACATTGATTGTAAAGAAAAATAAAACGTAAAATTATTCAGATGCTCCACTTAAAAATAGGTAGGCAATTACATCGAAATATATGTGTGCTCTTTATTTTCTCTTAGCTAAATATGGAAATAGATACTATTATCTGTAAAAAAAAAAATCTTTTATACGTTTCGCTGAGACACAATGTGTACCTACCATATTTTTCTCTTTCCGTAACTGGTCAAATATGAGAAATACTCCAACGATGTTATACTTAGGGAAAGTAGGGGGTATTTGCAACAACTCTATGATAAACACTGGAACATTAATACACAATGTATGTCTTCATTTTCCCTCACAAGACCGAAATTGGAAAATAAGATGAGGAGGTGTGACACTTGAAAAGAGGAGGGTAGTTGGTATAATAGAGTAAAAAAAAAAAACCGTGAAATTATTCAAAAGTTTCGTTAGAAAAGTGGGAAAACGATAAACAACGTACGTATTCTGCTGCGAGCATTTCACTTAGCCAAAAATATAGAAAAGAGCAACGCGAGAAAACTCGGAGTACTATTATTTGAACAACTTATGGAAAAAAAAAAAAAAAACATTAAAAATTTCAATAATACCGTCAGAAACGTGATAGATACTACAAAAGACCTTTTATTTTATATACATTTTACATAAAGACAAGGATGAGGATTACATATCGCATTGCGTTGGACTGCTCCTCGCGCTTCAGTACACTTACGTACCTGTGTATCAATAATATATTTACTCTTTACGGGAAAAATATTCGTAAAAATATTATACTTACATTATACGCGGTTGTGTACAACGAAAAAATAATACGGTGGTCATCATCTGTGTACGCGCAAAGCAAGATTCGGTTTACGCGTTGTGCGCTATAAACGAGCAACGCCCACGGAACATACGATGCCACAAATTAGCTAATGGCCGTACTTCTATAATCTGATGTTTTTCAATTACCTTATACTACAGTTTCTTAGATGTAGTCCATAGTAAACGTATTGGATCGGCGGTCACGGTTCGGTAGTATACACGCAGTTTCGACAGTTTCGTGTGGTTGTTGTAGTCGTAGGACGTGACCAAAATAATGTTATTACTCGTTTGTTTTAAGAAAACCAAAATGAGAGTCCACCCGTATTCTTTATACAGCTATATATATAGCGCAAGCGCGAGCACCCACGCGCACACTCACACATATTTTAAGTAAAACTTTTACGGTACGGTGTGTTGTACCTTTGTACTAATTAACTACGGTTTAAATAATTTGATATTTACCTGAATTTTACGTCGGAACGGTTGATTAATTAATTGTTTTTGTTTTTTTTTTTTTTTCAAATAATCTCAAAGCACTAAATTTTAATGACTGTTACGTATAAAGCAAATAGAAGCTCTTCGCGAATATTTACTTGTATTTATGTTCAGAGTATTATTGAAAAACATCAGACTGGAATCGGGGCCGTATTTACGCCTAGGCCCGTGAGGCCCGGGCCTAGGGTGGCAAATTTTGTAAGAAATTAAAAAAAAAATTCATATAAATATTTTATGCATTTATATAACTGCGTAAATTAATATTATAGTATAGATATTTGTGTGTAAAATATATGGGCGCATGATACTGAAATTTATAATTATTTGTTTTTAATTTCATTAAAATGAAATACATTTATTAGAAATAATTACAACATTTTTTTTTTTCTTGGGGTAGGGGCGGCATATTTAAAAGGGCCTAGGGCGGCATTTGTTCTAAATCCGGCCCTGACTGGAATAGTTTATTACTGTGAAAATAATTCTATTATATATTATAATATAATGTATCAGTATAATATGTCTTCGAGTTTATCAACTCAAAGCAGTTTGATTAATTTATCATATTTAACTGAAAATTTGATTGTATTAACCGTTGCGTTTCATTCAAACATTTCAATAATATTTTTAGTTGGAACCGATGGTTTTTACTTCCTTTGAACTATTAAAATTTCACTCGAATAATAGCTAAACCTAGATATATTTCATTGCATTTTCTTATACTATCGTAGGTATACCATTTGAAGTTAATACATTTATTCTTCTTAGGTATACGGCTGTATTGTTAAACTTTGGTCATTTGTTGTTATACGAGTATCAAAGTATGCACTAATAAGATTCTGATACATCCTACGAGGAGAGTAAATGTAATTCTACTAATAGCTGTTGTAGTAACATTATGTTTTAGAAAGTTATAGACATTTTTAACTACGTATTGTTTTTAAAATAATGGTCCACGTGCTTAACGATTACATTTTATCTATAATTGTGCAAATGTATTAAGTAGCAACATATACTATTCTCAACACTTTAATTCAAAAACTAATTTAATCAATGCAATATTATCTTTTACACACTAAATATTATATTGTATATTATTGAAACCCAATACATTTTGAATGGTCATATGCTTTAGTGACATAAGTCATAAATTGCAATATATTTGTCATTAATGATGTATTTCAAAATATTATGATACTAACTTTTTTTATTTAAAAAAAAAAAAAAAAAAAAAAAAAAAACAATCAAGCCGATTTCCAAAAAGTACATTGAATAAAACAACAAAGTCTTTTGATTAAAATTACATTTCTATGTTTTTGGTTATGATTTTATCTGGTAAGAGGTCATTATAATTGGGGTTTGTTTGTGAACGGATAGCTTTTGTATAAACCTAAGTTTTGTTTTAGTTTTTGACTAAAACAATACGCATAAAAACGTTCAGTCAATGGGTAAAAAATGAAATTTTTCGTTATTGTGTGCCTTTCTACGGACTACGATCCACATTTCGTTTACTGAATTCTCACCTTTCAACTAAACATTCCGCTTCTACGTATTTTGTTCTCATCCATGTTATTTGTCTATTTTTTTGTTTCCTTCATTAAATTTACATGTGAACTCGATTTTCATTTTAAATGTTAAAAAATCTCATATTGTCTAACTTTGCATTATGTTCGCCAGTCGGCACCGCGACGCATTTCTGTAGAAGTGATTTAAAGTATAACTGTTTTGTACTGTGATTAGATATTGGAATAGTATCACGTCGTTCTTCCATTTAAACATTCTTGAAAAGTCCATTTACAATTTTAATGGTGTTAAATGACAGTTTGAAGCGTATTTGCGTATTACTATCAGTTTCATGTTTGTGTACAACAATAATGCATCGATTTGTATCGCTACCGCTATTCTACCAATATTTTTGAAGATCTAATGCAATTTTTTTTAACATTAATCCAATATTCAGTAAATAATTTTAGTACATAATTATATACATATTAAATATTTTTGTTTACTGGTTAAATTGGCAAATTTAATTAATGAATGGTAAAACGATCTTTAAAGATCAATAATAGTTATTCATTTGAGATGTTTTGCATCATAAAATTATTTTTACACTTGCTAATATGGTTTGTGAATTTTACAACAATTTTAAAAGCGTAGAAGATAATTCTAATTTTAAATAATGATAATTATTTATCATTTTTAATACGTATTGATTATTATTATACGATTTAAGTAATAAATTAAATTCTATATTCGATAGATTGAACGTGCTTATGTAAATATTTAATTTTGTATAATTGTATTTATTTATTTTTTATTGATCGTATTTAAGCTCGGAAACTATGACCATTAACTGTGTATAGGAACAGTAAAAGTTATTTTTTTTTTCATGTGTAAGGTTTGTTTGTAAGATTTAGTTAGTAGGATTGGAACACGTGTGTGTAACTTAACATAAAATATCAGTTGCTTCTAATCCGTTCGTATCTGTGCACAACGGACTTTATTGCAATATTCTTAATATTAGTTATATTGAGTTGTCGCGTAGTTTAAGGAACAAAGCGTTAACTATATGACCATTTCTTTTAACACTAAAAACAAAAGAAATATATTGTTTGAGTGTGCTCGGATTTACTGTTGATAGGTAATCTCTGTTTTCTAACAAACATGATTCGATGAAAGACCCTTTTTTGTTTGCTGTGTAAAAGTTTACGTACATAGATAGTATTATTTCACGATTTCGATTTTAAATTTAAAAATGTCCAATAAATACATATATGAACTATATACATATATAAAAGTTTGTATGTATGTCCCACAGATGTATATAATAAATATACTTCTTTCGAAATGTTTTTATTTTAATTAGCCACAACAACATAAATTATTAAAATAAAAAGATTTTACATGTTTTACATTTGCTACAGTATCATATAAGGTTATATAAAATAGTAGATTTTAGATATTTTTGAAATGTTTATTTATCGTATATAATGTATGGTTTTGATTACTCGCGATAGTACCAATATAATAATAAATACATGAGTGTATAGGATACCGAAAATTCAATGCAAAATGTTTAAAACACCTTACTCGTTGAATAATTTTTTTTTTAAAGACTCATTAAATAACAAAGCAGTTTGCCATTTTATTATTATTTTTTTTTATTTTATGATCAAAACGATAAATGCATTCTCATTTTAAACATACTGATTTTATACCAGATTTTAAATATTATAGTATTTTAAGTATATCAAAAAACCGCGTAACGCTCATATTCAAAGATTAAAAATATTTAAAAAAAAAATTGTTTTTATTATATTTCTAGCCACAGTTGTTGTGACCCCGCTCCGACTGTGCTTTCGGGCGCCGGCATATGTCTAATAGTGTTGGGCTACACGATGTTCGGCGCTTTCACGTTCATGACGTTGGAAAATGGTGGTCGAGACAGTATGCAATCAATTCGAGGTGGTCAACAGCAGCATCAGCAACCACAACCCCAACCCCAGACCCAGCAACAGCAGCAACAACAACAGCAGCACAATCAGCCGCAACAGCATCAGCAACAGCAACAACACCACCAGCAACAGCAACAGTCGCAGTCGCAGTTCTTACTAGCACGGAACGACAAACTCAGGGCGCAGACTGTTGAGAAGCTGTGGAAGATCACCGAAGATCTGAACATCCTTTATCGAGATAACTGGACTAGGCTAGCCGAAGAGGAAATCCTCAAGTTCCAAGACTCGTTGATCCGGAAGTACGGTGGTCCCAATCAAGTAGACCGAAGACATCGGTGGAATTTTGCATCATCGTTCTTGTACTCATTGACATTGATCACCACTATTGGTAAGTAAAATACCGTGTGACATAAAAACAATGACAAATAATTGTATGGTCTACATACATAATGGTACACCATGTCTGTTAAAGGTAATAAGTTGCTGTAAAACCACAAAAACAATTCTGTTTTCTTTTAAACACAATTATACTTCTTTTACATCTGAAAAAAATAAAAGTCTAATACATTTAATGAATCAATATGTTTAACTAATGGTTCTTTAAACATGATTTAGTGGCCCGCGATTGGTCAATTCAATACTAGAGAACCATTCAATTAACTAATTTATATTTATGCAACTTATCATAAATATTATTTAATTAAATTATATTATAAATACCTATGTCGATATGTTTGAACGTTTTAATAATGGCGGATGCATTATACATTTTATTATAAAAGGTTGGCCGGGTACTCTGATAGTGTAAAGTTAACAAAAATGTTATTAAAAATATAATGTATATGTGAAAACCGAGTTACATACAATACCGATAACGTCATCATTTTATTCTTATATCGGTTGAGTGATTTATTAATTATTACATCGAGTACCACGTAAAAAAAAATAATTGAAAATTATGTATTATTTCACGGGAAAAAATAAGATTAGTTTTTTGTATGATTGCTTTATTACTTCTGTTGATTTAATGCGGTTTTCGTAATCTTTTTACTCTTCGAAACCTACAAATGCTAAATGACTATTAGTTTTGCTGTCAATTTCTAAAATTTCCATCATGTATTTCAAAGCAAATCTTAATGGAAAATAAAAGAAAACCAATTAAATTAAAAATTATGTATTATACATATTCTATTAATACTTATTATTTTGGTTTTGATTTATGTCAGCAACAATGTGTTTTCGTCATAATTTTAATAAACAAGTTGTTTAGAGTACTTAAAGGAACATTTTAACATTTAATCAAAATAATGTCAAGTGACTCATTTATAAATATAGTGAGTAGGTACTTAAAACGTGGTTTGCATATTATGTGCATTCGTATTAATTATAGAGGAGATATTATATGTACATATGCATATTATGCTGTTATGCTTTACATTTTTAACATATTTGACGACTGTGTTATATAGGTAAACAAGCACACGTGCATTTTACTTTTAATGACACGTGTCAAAGCTTTTGACGCTTTTTCTGTGTTAGCTCAGTTGATTAATTATTAATTAAACTGCAAGATGTCGGCTTTCAGTGTAGCGCGCTACAAATTAAAATACTTTAATGGTCAACAAATAATGTAACTAACAACATCGAGTGTATCTAATAATTATTTCAATCAACTATAATTATATATACATAAATAAATAACTAGTTTTATGAATCATAAGTGAGAAAAGTGGAGGTGAATTTAGATTAAAAGACATGACTCCATTAAAGTCCATAGAAATTGTTTGTCAAATTATATTTAAAAAATAATAAAGAAAAAATGTTTTATGAATTACTAAATAATTACATTTTTATAGAGTCTTAATTAAAACTTAATTTTCATCAAGTATTAATATGTTAATTATACTTGGTACTGTAGGAGAATTTAATTAATTACACAAACACACACACTCGCACACACACACACACACACTCCTATTTAAAACAGAAAGATAATTCAAATCATCACCCCCTCCCTAACAATACCGCTCTTATTGTAAATTAAAATATTAAGAATATCTTCGTTATAAAACGTCAAAAATATTGTCTCAAAAACAGATTTAATAATATTTGACTAGTAAAAAATGGTATTCACACATCTGATACAATACAATATGTATTTATATTAAACATTTAGTTATGTCGTGTAATTGCATACCATCTTGCATTTATGGTTGTTAGCAATTGTAAGATAAAATCGAAAAGTGCGCTTGTGAGAAAATTTGTTTCCTTTAAAATTACAGAGTTTTAATTGTTTATTGTACCGTTTGGATAAGTATTTGATAAATGTAGAAAATTCACAGGGTTTTTGAATTAGTACATTGTAGATTGTTTGTTTTACAATGCAAATCAATTATTTTCAATGAAACAACAATAATTTATCAAACGAAGCCAAAAAAACACAATGGACATTTTAAATATAAAAATCTATAAATATATAAGTTTGTTAAATGTCTTTATATTGATTAAATTTATTAAAACAAATGATCAAACAATAACTAAGACATAATAATCATAATAATATACTAAGTAGATGTATAAAATTTAAAAATATATATTAAAAAGGGCTTTTTGTAATGGAATGGTTTTACAGTGCTTAAAATGTTTCATTTTCATACATAATCTCGAGGTATATATAATTTTTCCTAAAATGACACTTGTAAATTATATTTTTTATTTATTAAAATAGTCCATGTTCGTATAGCGCTGTAAGTCTGAGCTTAAGCTATCAAATTATAAAAACCAACATGGAGTGAAACTGATTTAAAACTGAAAATTAATATTTTTTAATATTAAATAAAGTTAAATATTTTTTGAACAGTGACATTACATTTAAATAAATAATGTGAACTAAGTAAATAAGCAACTCGAAAGTAATTTAGAATTCAATCAATAATGAATGAAGTTTAATATCATACTTATTACCTGTTACATATTTATTAAAAATACTTTTCAAATAATTATTTGAATATATTTTCTAAAAAGTATTTATTTAAAAATATACTCTAAAAGCATTTTAAATAATTTAAAACACTTCATTTTTTTTTTTTTTTAAATTGTGATTTATAAAATAGTTACATCAATACGATTTATATACTTATAAATTAAAACTTATTAGTTATTTCTTAAATTATGTACTTATATAAGTTATTTAAGAAACGAAAATGGATAAAGTCATCTTCTCATCGATTCTTTTAATATGTTGTAGTCATAACTGAACTTTTTAATGCTGAAAGTGTTAAATCTTTATGATATTAATATTTAAAAAAATTGTTTGTATTAAATAATTTTAAATACAAAATATAAATATACCTAAGTAGGTAGGTATTTAAAATATATTTAAAATACAAAAACACGTATTTAGTACTTCACAATTTTATAACTATGTATTAGTGTACACAAATATAAAGCCAATTACCTAAATATTCAAAATTCTGTATTAATTGTGAAACATATTAGTTACTTTACAATGATTTAGGTAGTCGCATCTATTATTATAAATTATTTAACTGTAGTAGGCATTTATTTGGTTATAATGGTAATTTAAATGTTTTGACTTTAAATTTATCATTTGATTGAAAATCTAGTCTAGTTGTTTAATTAATCAAGTGGGGTTTTACATTTTGAATTTGTTTGATGTGGTTTTTCTGAGCACATAATCGGTAAACAACTTCAACTACCAAACATGTTCAAAGAAGTTTGAGCAAGTACAAAAATAACTTTCAGTAAAGAAAATGTCGTATACAATTGTATTTATTATTAATTCATATATAATAAATTGTAGTGTATAGCAGGTACTAGAACCTTGATGATTTTTACTGTTCTGGTTCTGGTGAAGTTCCTAAAAAAACTGAAATTTTGGTTTCGATTTCTTTTCGGTTTTAAAAAAACTAAAATTTTAGTTCCGGTTCCTTTTTGGTTTTTAAACTTAAGTTTCGGTTATGATAAGATAAAAACTACGTTTCGTTTCCTGTTTAGATTTTATACTTAAAAAAATTTGGTTTCATTTCGATTCTTTAAAAAATATTAGTATTTTTAATACCTACTAATATTATTAATCCTCATAATAATAATAATAATAATAATAATATATTTAAGCAGGTACTTGTTTAGACTTTAATTCATAATTCTTATTATTTATTAGTGACAAATAAAAATTAAAATAATAGAATTATTACAAACCGAAATTAATCGTAAGAAACTATTAAAAAAATGAAAAAAGTATCGATTCAGGTAAAGTTATGGTTTTAAAAAAAATTTAAATTAGGGTTCCGGTGAGGTTCTTAATATCGGTTCTTTTCGGTTTGGTTCCAATCCCTGATATATAGATTTATAATAATTTATTTCTACTCTTATTATAATACAATGATCTGACTTCAAGGAATAATTTAAATATTTATCATTTATTAATTTATTATTTATTTATTTTTGTCGGAGAAAATATCACTTATATAATACATTTTATTATTAAGGTTTCAGTTAAATATGTTTTTAAAGAAATTTCAATTTCGATCATGAATAAATTGAAAAATAATGAAGTGAAGTTTTTAATGTGATATTTTTTTTTTTGTATGTATATTACTATAATATTGTATTCGAATTTTCTAGAATATAAATTGATAATGTACTCGTATAAGTGTATTAATTCTGTTTAATATTTTAAAAGATTTAAACTGCTGTGAAGAGTAAACAGTAAAATTACTTTTTCAGTCAAAAATATATCTCACCTTAAAGATTATTATGCTTTTATTCTCGTACGTTTATAAAATAAGAATAACCCAATATTTTATTTTAAAAATGATTTGGAAAAGAATTCCAAAGTGTTTTACCTTTTTCTTATTGCTTTAAATATACTGAAAGTAAAGAATGGTGTGATAGTTAATTTTTTGGTTTAGAATTTTAAGTTATAAAAATCAAAATAATGCACTTTAAAACAATTTCAACTCAATAAATAAACAATCGTCACACACATTATTATACATTCTAATGGTTGTAATAATCATTTTCTTTGTAATTATGCTCACAAATTATTCAAATTGTTTTACCAGTAATTTCAATTTGTATGAAACTCAACGTACCATCGAACTCTACGATGTTTAAATTATAGAGTTGAAAAAACACATTTTTTTCTCGTTTATTTGTTCGACGGTGAAAAGAAAAACGTTACTCTACCTTATGGAAATATACGCATACGCGTTTCTATACATCACTCGGGTAATATATCTGTGTTGAAACTGCTTTTCTATTCTACATTTTTTCTTCCTCTCAAACTCAAGGGTGTTCAAAGCGTATATATTATAATATAAACATCGTCGATAAATTAGTATCGCACAACTGAATGTATTAAAT